CCCTCCCTTTCTTCCCTTTGATCTTTCCTTCCTTTGGCAAATATTTATCAAATGCCTCCCATGTCCACAGCAATGTGGTCAGAGCTAGAGTTAGTCTCTGTCCCTAGAGCTAACACACTGGTGAAACAGGCAGGCAGACTCAAAATCATTTAATTGTCTAGTAAATGATAGCTGTGAGATGCACTCAGCAGGGAGGATAATGGGCACTTGAGACCAGGAGTAGGGTTTTCATCCTGAAGTAAGGATTGATGTGAGTTAACTGGGGGTAAGACCATCCCAGGTCAGAGATACAGCCTGTGCAACTCCCCTGTGGCAGGTGGGGAGCATAGGGTGACCCAGAAACGCAAGGTCCCTGGGGCTGGTACACAAGAGGTCTGGAGAGTGGGGGTGCCTGCTAACTAGTCCTATATAATAAAGAGGTAATATGCAAATTAACCCTCACATCCTCACAAGATGGCTGCCTACAACCAGGCTGGCAAGGTGGTTAGTGAGGGATGACCAAAAGACTGAACAAGCAGGCTGAGTGGGAGACCAGGCCAGCAGGTGGGGCAGTTGGGAGCAACCAGGCCAGCGGGGGGGAGGGGGGGCAGTTAGGGGTGACCAGGCAGGCAGGCAGGTAAGCAGTTAGGAGCCAGCAGTCCCGGATTGCAAGAAGGATGTCCAACTGCTGGTTTTGGGATTGGGCCTAAACCAGCAGTTAGACATCCCCGAAGGGGTCCTGGATTGGAGAGGGTGCGGGCTGGGCTAAGGCCTCCTACCCTCCCCCTGCACAAATTTCATGCACTGGGCCTCTAATAAATAAATAAGGCTGAAACTGTGACCAGGAGCACACCATGCAGGGTGTCAGGCTGTCACAGGGACATGGGTCCCTCCTGCATAGAGTGGGAAGCCATCCATGGTGCATCCCATTATGTAAGGACCGTTCTACCTGCTCTGAGGTGGGATGCGAGGTGCAGCCTGCAGGCAGGAAGAGAACTTAGCAGCCTATTGCGGGGTGTTCTGCCTGGGGAAATCCACCAAACCGTTGATGGCAGAGACCACAGAAGTAGAAAGGTTGCAGTAGCCAGCCCTGTTTATAGTCCGAGTTACACACTTAAACAGCATACCTCCTACAGGGTCAAAATTGCTTGGCTATTTTGTGCATCCACTTGGACTGAGTGCATGAGTGCAGGGCGGAGCGCTCCCCTCGGCACTTCTCCTTCCACTTCGCTTGCAGCTCAGTAGCCCCAGCAAGGTCTCAGCACGTTGCGCACTCCATCCAATCCCACCGGGACCCAGGATTCTCCCTGGTGCAAACCGCTCTGTAGGTAGTTTGCAGGAGTAATTGCAAACTCCAGACAATCTTGGTATTTTTGCTTAACTATTCACTCCTCTGGAGCTCTGGAGAGCATCTTCGATTTTTCTTGCTGTCTGGTGCCATTGCTAATGACTGTTTCTCTTCTCACCTTGTAACAATGGTTCTCAGCCTTTATGTTTATGAAACAATCCACCTGGAGGATTTGACAAGTTCTTATTAATGTAAAGAGGGGGCTATACAATGCAGTGCAACTGCAGGTTTAATTACAAATAGGCATAAAAGTGCGGGCATCAAGCTGACATGGACATGAAATTAACGTTATTATCTGGACAGGAAGTCTGAGAGGCCAGAGAAGCCATAGTGCTCAGAGAAAGCCTCTTGAGGCCCAGGCTCTTTCTTGGTGATGTGACGCTGTGGCCAATGAGGAAAGCTTCCTATGCTCCCCAGTGCAGTGAGCAGCAGCTAAGTGCTGGCCACTGTGCCAGAGGATAAGGCTACCTAGTTGAAAAGAACAGAGTCCTTGCCCATTAGGACTTCATAGCCTGGGCAGGGCCAGGCTACAGTGGGTGAGGGAGATCATATGACTCTTGTTAGGACATGTGAAAGGCCAGCTGGAATAAAAGAGTCAGTGAAAGCTGCAGAGCGAAGTTCACACTTGGCGGATCTTGAAGAATGAGTTCAGATTGGCCCAAATGAAGGGCATTTCAGGAAGAAAAATGTGGCCTACAGGCAAGAGGTGTAACAGCGCCTGTGTCTTTTAAGTAGTTCCATTTAGGCAGATCTTGGAGTATGTGAGCTAGTGGATTTAGTGAGTGGTGGAAGCAACTGGGGAGAAGCGAGGGAAGTAGTTAAGAACATTGAACCTCACCATAGGAGCTGTCATTATTTTTATTAAATGAGAGGATGCATGTAGATTTTGATACGAAGACTGAGATATACTATGGGTTCAATAAAAGTACTGGAGAATTACTACTATTATATTTCAATGATGATGAGGATGATGCCACAGATAATTCTTCAGCTGAGGTACACTATGAATTTATAGAAGATAAACATATAGTTTGACTGTTCACTTCCTAAATGTCCTAACTCTTCTCCCTAAATCCTGTTCTCCCACTTCATCCTTCCCATCATGACAATCTCAGCGCTATCGCCTCTTCCTCGCCAAAACCTTCCCCAGCATCCCTGACCAAGCTCTGTCCTCCCCACTGGACACCAAGAGGACAGCGCCTGGCATAAAAAAAGGGCTTAAGAAATAATAACTTTTAAACAGCATTGACTTTGCAATAGGCACAGTGCTAAGTACTTTACATGTATGAACTCTTATTACTCACCTCAATTAAATTTGTGGAGGTCGGTATTCTGTTTATTTTCATTTTACAGAGGTTGAGGCTGAGACAAGCAAGGTTAAGTGACTTGTCCATGGTCACAAAACGATTAGGTAGTGGAGCCATGGGTGAATGGGATGGATAGATGGAAGGAAGGAAGGAAAGAAGGATAAGCACTATCCTCACTATCTTCACCACCTCAGTTTCTTCTTCTCTAGACCCAGGTCTCTCTAATATTTTAGAACTGTTTGATGTTCTCAAGTGTTTTATTTATCAACACCAGTAAGCTCACCAAATGTGAAGAATGTTTAAAAAAAAAAAAGGTCCATCGTATTAAGAAAGGTGTTATATTTTCTTTTTCTTTAATTTTTAAAAATATATTTTTATTGATTTCATAGAGGAAGGGAGAGGGAGAGAGAGAGATATAAACATCAATGATGAGAGAGAAGAATTGATCGGTTGCCTCCTGCACGCCACCCACTGGGGATGGAGCCTGCAACTCGAGCATGTGCCCTCACCGGGGGTTGAACCATGACCTCCTGGTTCGTAGGTGGACACTCACCCACAGAGCCACGCTGGCCGGGCAATATTTTCTAAACAGTTATCTGCAAACAATGTTAGTAATTAAGCTCTGAAACTTCTGAATTGCATTAAGTTGTGGCATGAGTTGCATCACTACTTTATAGGAGTCCCTGGTAGCACACTGGATCTGGATGCTAGAATGCTGCAAACCAGACCCATTTGTTCTACGTAAGCTTCCCCCAGGGGGGCAGCAGGTCAGGGTCAACGCTCTTGGGTCTGGGATGCCATCTGCGTCTTTCAGGTCTGTTAGTAAATATTGATGTTTCTGATTGAAAGATAACCCCTTTCTTAATATGGTGGACCTTACTTTTTAACATTCTTCACATTTGGTGAGCTTACTGTTGTTGATAAATAAAACACTTGAGAACATCAAACAGTTCTAAAATATTAGAGAGACCTGGGTCTGGAGAAGAAGAAACTGAGGTGGTGAAGACAGTGAGGATAGTGCTTATCCTTCTTATGTTATTGATGTCAGGTTGCAGCTGACCTCTACCCAACTCACTGAAGTATATGAGATTATAATGGCCATTTGCAGTTCAGGCAATATTTGGTTTATTGAAATATTAATGAAAATAAATTCTAAACTCCGTGTCCAGTTGCCCCAGTTCAAATCCAGGCTCCACCAACTATGTGCATACTTTGGGCCATTTACCTGAGCTATCTGAGCCTTGTACAGTACAGAGAATAGTAACATCTTCTGCAGTACAGAGAATAGTAACATCTTTCTCACTGGAGTGTAAAGGATTTTCTGAAAATCTATTTACAGACTTGAGCTTATCATTTTCATCATCATCATCGTCACTCATTGTTAAATTCACTGTATGATCAAGAACATATTTAACAAGTTACTATCACACAAAAAAAAATGCAGACACAATTCAAGAATGCATTCCCGATTCTAAAGGCTTCCTTCTCTTCTTCCCTAGGAAACTGCTCAAAGACCTCATGCGAGTGGAACTCACAGCTTCCTGGATCCGGCTCAGCATTCAGTAAGTGCGGCCACTTTTGAACATTCATTACATAAATGCGTCCGTGTCTTTGATCCTGTTTTCTCTGAAAAAGCTCTCTTCAGCCAGCCGGAAGTCCCCACAAACACTTTGCCACCCGCCTGGGTCTTTCTTTCCTTCAGGCCAGTGATGGATCCAGAGATGAGAGGATGGTTTGCTAGCAGAACCCCCACAATGAACACAGGATATGTGTGAGAGTGTGGGTGGGTTCACCCTACCATTCCTGGGGATAAAACTCACTGCTTTTGTTCCCCTTTCGTCCTCTAAGTTTGTTTCATTTGGAGACATTTCATTCCGCTCTCTCAGTCCCGGGACCTTGCTCAGTAGAAAGAAATGCCAGGAAACCCAGACCAGTTCGCGAGACCACATGTTTCTTAAAGCCTCAAAGAACAATCCGGTTTGCTCTTTTTGAGCCAGAATACGTTACTACTATATAAGAATTACTGCAAAAGAGAAATTCTGTACTGTAAGATGCTGGGGTACATTTTAGAAATTCCATTTGTTTTTAGCAAGTAAGCACTTTCCGCCATCTGCCTTTCCCATTGCACAGAAGGCATTGTTTTTCGGTGAAGCCAGCAGTATTTTGTCCGATCTCCCCGCCTCTTACTGCTTATCAGATGTTAGCTTTAGGGATGTGCATAACCTCCGACAGCAGCTCTTCTCGGCAATGGTTCTGTGGGCAAACAACTTGTTTTATGAATAAATCTGTAATAATGTAACAACAAAGATCAACATTCAAAAGGCTAACTGAAGGAAATATTTATTTTTTAAAGATGTAGCTTCCTCATAGGTTTCAGAATTTCTTAATGTATTCGACTTCTGAGCGTGGGTGAGTATAATTTGATACATCAACTATCACAGAGGGGCAGGTAGAATTGGAGGCTGTGGGGCTCCAGGCCTGGAAGAGGCTGATCAAAGGAAGTGCTTTTGCCCTCAGAGGTACAGCAGGGCTCCCCTCATCGCTGTGGAATTTGCATATGCGAACAGAGAGAAGGAGGAGGAGGGATGGGAAGAAATAAAAAGATGGTGTCTTCACTGTTCCCTACATCAGAATGGCTTAGCGTAACCCTGATCAGCTAAAGCCTGTATCACACAGGAGATTAGACCCGCAGCTTTTGTTCCAATAATAAAGGACATTTTATGTCTAATTCCCTACATGCTACATCTATCTGGTAATGCCTTTGAAGTTGAGGCCGCAGCATTTCCTGAAAATTGTGAGATTTTGTAAGTGAAAAGGAGGGGGCTGTTTGGCATGCATTCTGTTCAAGTCTCTTGGGTGTCACGTTAAATGTGCGTGTGACTTTATCTTTTTCTGTCTCAAGCACCGTCCATTTCCTGGCCTCCTCTGTGGTGCTGGGACAGGGGTGGGATGGAGGAGGAGGGTTTCAAGGATGGGTTTTCAGCTGATTCACGACACTCCCACCCTTGTCTCTACTTTCTAAACGTGATACATATTTCTGCTTCTCGGGAAGAAATCCATGTTCCAAACCTGAATTTGGGCTGAAGTTTCTAACCTCGGGGAGGCTCTGGTTTCTGAGATAATTAGTGAAAACGTTGTAAGGAACGCGTGTTAATTTGTCTTTTGATATGGTGTTTCCATATCTACAATTACAGTCTGAAGAGGAAAAAATTATTAATTTGCTGCTCCAAACCAGTGTGCAGTTATGTGATAATTTGAACAAAATTAAAAAGGAAGAAATGGAAAAACTCCTCATTTGAGGGTATTGAGAGCAGCTGCCCTGTGTCGGTGTGTGCCTACCAGATGGTGATGCTTTCCTGTGATCACAGCTTCTGCTGCACTGGGAACCTCATTCAACTTCCAGGGCCAAGAGGTCCCTTCGCCCAGAACAAGGGTGGAGTTCTGGGAGATTGGTTACCGGGAGAACATAACACGGCGTCTATGTTGTCCATATTCTTGGGCCTTGGGCTCTGTTTACCAATATCGTGTAGTACATCGCAGGTTAGGAAACTGCTCCACTCTTAGGGGACTGTAATGAGAGCAATGAATTTGCAGTTGAAATTTGCTTTTTGCTTTTTTTTTTCCTTCCCTAATCAAGATTTTCATTTGCTCTTCTTTAACAAAATGTACTTGGTATACAATATTATATTGGCCGTATTAGTTTTAGATACAATATCGTGATTTGACATTTTTTAAATTTATTTTTTTAAAAAATATATATTTTTATTTATTTCAAAGAGGAAGGGAGAGGGAGAGAGAGCTAGAGACATCAATGATAGAAGAGAATCATTAATTGGCTACCTACTGAGGATTGAGCCCGCAACCGGGGCATGTGCCCTTGACTGGAGTCAAAACCGGGACCCTCCAGTCCACAGGCCAATGCTCTATCCACTGAGCCAAACCGGCTAGGGCTGTGACATTTTTATACTTCACCATGTGATCACCCCCTTAGGTCTAGTAATCATCTGACACTGTGAAACTTATTACAATGTTCTTGACCGCATTCCCCTTCTGCTTTTTCACCCATCCAAGTCCTACTTGAGGATTGCAGTTCGGGACTTTCAAGGAGACTGATACAGAACATCAATGGAGAATACACTGACCACTAACCTTCTCTGATAAGCATAGACAGGTCATTACAGATTTGGTTTGGAGTTACGGTTCTCAACATAGTCGTCTAAATTTCTCCTTTATTTTTCAATTACAGTTGCCATATAGCATTATTTTAGTTTCAGGGTACAACATAGTGATTAGGCACTTACATAACTTATGAAATGATCACCAGATACATCTACTACCCACCTGACATCATACATAGTTATTACAGTATCATTGATTATTGTTGTACTTTACTATTGTTGTACCTATGCCTATTCTGCAAATTCCAATTTGTACTTCTTAATCCCTTCACCTTTTTTTTAACCCATCTCCCAAACCCGCTTCCATTGGCAACCTTCAAAATGTTCTCTGTATCTATGCATCTGCTTCTGTTATGCTGATTTATTTTTTCTAATTCCACATATAAGTGAAATTAAGTGGCATTTGTCTTCCTTCGTCTGATATTTCACTCACCACAGTACCGTCTAGGTCCATCCATGTGTTACCAATGACAAGATTTTATTATTATTTTTTTATGGCTGAGTCATATTCCACTGGATATATGCATCACATCTTTATCAACTCATCTATTGATTGTCACTTAGGTAGCTTCCATATCTTGGCTATTGCAAATAACGCTGCAATAAACATATAGATGTATATGATCTTTGATTTAATGTCTTGGTTGTTTTTGTTGCTTTTTTTTTTTTTTGGATAAATATCCAGAATTGGAATTACTGGGTTCTTTGTCTTTTGTTATAGACTTTGTTTTAAAGTCTATCTTGTCTGGTATAAGTATTGCTACCCTAGCTTTTGTTTCTTTTCTTTTTTATCCAATTTTCATGAAATATTTTCTCTATCCCTACACTTTCAGTCTGTGTGTCTTTTGATCTGAAGTAGGCCTCTTATAGACAGCATGTGTTAGGGTCTTGTTTTGTTATCCATTCAGCCTCCATATGTCTTTCAATTGGAGCATTTAATCCATTTGCAAATAATTGTTGACAGATATGTATTTATGCCATCCTATTATTCATATTTTATCTTTTTTATTACTCTTCTTATAGAAGATCCTTTAATATTTCTTGTAATATTGGTTTGGTGGTGATGAAGACATTTGGCTCTTTTGTGTCTGGGAATCTCTTTATCTGATCTTCATTTCTAAATGACAGCTTGCTGGGTAGAGTAATCTTGATTATAGGACATTGCTTTTTCTCACTTTGAGTATATCTTGCCACTTCCTCCTGGCCTGAAATGTTGCTGTTGAGAAATCAGCTGACAGTTCTATGGGAGCTCTTTTGTAGGTAAGTAACTGCTTTTCTTTTGCTGCTTTTAAGATTCTTTCTTTGTCATTAACTTTTGGCATTTTAATTATGATGTGCCTTGGTGTGGGCCTCTTTGGGTTCCTTTTTGTGTGGGACTCTGTGATTCCTGGACTTGTATGTCTAGGTTAGGGAAGTTTTCTACCATTGTTTTTTTTCACATGTTTTTTAAATTTCTTGCTCTCTCTCTTCTCCTTCTAGGACCTCCATGATGAGAATGTTGGTACACTTGAAGTTGTCCAAAAGACTCCTTATACTATCCTCATTTTTTAATCCTTTTTCTTTTCACTGTTCTGATTGGGTGTTTTCTGCCTCCTTATCTCCCTAGTGCCACATGCAGCACAGATTGCCACACCCCCTTCTGGGTGTCACTTTCAACTCACAGTGCCTAAAATCAGACCAAACCCCACTCACTCACCATTCTCTCCCCAGGTGCCCCAGTCCCAGCTTCTGTCATCACTGACTTTGTCTTGTTTTTTATCCACCACCAAGAAAAGAGTAAGTCTTTGATCTGGGTCTTTAAAAAGCCTTCTTTCCATCCCCTGTGTTGGCATAAACTTCCTGCTATTCCTTTTCCCATGGTTGTGAGGTCTTCTTAAGTGGTGGTCATGCCTAAAGCCACCCTCTGATTGCATCCTGCATATGGGAGGACTAACATTCCTGCAACATGGAAATCACCTAGCTGCTTGCTCATTAAGCTAGTCCCTATCTGACACTTGGTCTTCTCTTTAGGGGTGTGTTCTATTCCAATTAGGCAAGTTCAGCTCCTGACTGCTAAAGATGCTTACTTCCCAACTCCAAGCATCTGCTACTCTTGGTCTCACCAGCAGGGAAACCCTTTCCCATTCTCTTAGTCTGCACTTCTGCATGGATCTCTGTTCAGATCCTCCTGATGAATGAATTTTTCCCCATGTGTGCTCAGTTTCTTGATTTCCCCTACGATAAAGGCAATATGAGGTCAGTTTTCAGTGTAGACATTTGACCCCATGATATTATATATAATCAGATTATATATATATATACATAAAATCAGATATATATATATCTGATTTTATATATATATATATATAAAAATCTGGAGCTCAGTAGAGCAGGCAAGATGGAAC